GATTGCTAATATCTCTGGTTTCGTACGGCGAAAATTTCACTACTCAAAGTGGTAGAATAGGCTTTAACCCCTTCGTGCCCAGGCAAAACTGAGCATATAAAAAAACGAAACTAAAGTGGTTCCTATAGTTTTTGGGGTCGCTGATTACGAATCTGGTGTTAGTTTTTGAAAATTCAAAATGGCGGATTCAATATGGCGGACGAAAAAATAAAAATTGTTCGGATTCGCTTGAAAATTGTCACTCGGGGGTTTTCGGGGTCGCTGATTACGAATCCGATATTAGTTTTTCAAAATTCAAAATGGCGGATCCAATATAGCGGACGAAAAATCAAAATTGTTCGGATTTGCTTGAAAATTGTCACTCGGGGGTTTTCGGGGTCGCTGATTACGAATCCGATACTAGTTTTTCAAAATTCAAAATGGCGGATCCAATATGGCGGACGAAAAATCAAAATTGTTCGGATTCGCTTGAAAATGGTCACTGGGGTGTTTTCGGGGTCGCTGATTACGAATTTGGTATTAGTTTCTCAAAATTCAAAATGGCGGATCCAATATGGCGGATGAAAAATCAAAATTGTTTGGATTCGCATGAAAATGGTTACTCGGGGGTTTTCGGGGTCGCTGATTACGAATCCGATATTAGTTTTTCAAAATGACGGATGCAATGTGATGGACGTATTTTTAAAAGTTATTAACAAAAAAAATCCAACGCACTTCTTGCGGAACCTCAAGGGTGGTGTGGAAGGCCGTTACAGACATAAAAACATAAACTTCTATTGCTGTTATACTTTTAACTTATTTTAATTTGTTTAATTTAAATTAGTTTCAATCGATTGTTAACGATTATTAAAAATTGATCTGCAACATTGGATTTAAGACTCAATTTTTGAAAACTAATACCAAATTCGTAATCAGCGACCCCGAAAACCCCCCAGTGACCATTTTCAAACGAATCCGAACAATTTTGATTTTTCGTTCGCCATATTGGATCCGCCATTTTGAATTTTGAGAAACTAATATCGGATTCGTAATCAGCGACCCCGAAAACCCCCGAGTGACCATTTTCAAGCGAATCCGAACAATTTTGATTTTTCGTCCGCCATATTGGATCCGCCATTTTGAATTTTGAAAAACTAGAATCGGATTCGTAATCAGCGACCCCGAAAACCCCCGAGTGACAATTTTCAAGCAAATCCGAACAATTTTAATTTTTTCGTCCGCCATATTGGATCCGCCATTTTGAATTTTCAAAAACTAACACCGAATTCGTATTCAGCGACCCCAAAAACCCCCGAGTAACCAGTTTCAAGCGAATCTAAAATGTTTTAAAAATTCGTCATTTTTCATAATTATTTATATTTTTTTCTGAACAATATAAATTTTTAAACAAAATGTGAGTTCCATTTTTTGAAAGCTCTATCCTTCCTGAAAAAAATGCACCAAGTTTGAATAAAAAATATTTAATCTGTTTAGAGTTCTGGAGGTTTTTGTAGGTGGGACATATATGTCCCATGGGCACGAAAGGGTTAAGAACATTTTTTTGTAGAATTAAGAAATCCTTTGTGATTAAAACTACTACTTCAAGTAATATTTTTTTACTATTTTAATTAATTCAATAAGCTTAAAAAACGTTTTTGATGTAAAATGTAGAAATCGTTTCCAATTGAAACTACTACTTTCAGTAGTAGCTTTTACTACTTAAAGTGGTTCAATAGGCTTTAAGAACATTTATGTCGTAGAATTAAAAAATCCTTTGCAATTAAAACTATCACTTTGTAGTAGATTTTACTGCACTATGCAATTAAACAACTTATAATATAATTGAAAGATGAAAAATTTACAAGTCAAAACTTAAAATGGATAGTTATAGCAACTAATAAAAGTAGTAAAAATGACTACTTTAAATAAAACTTTAAATAAATTTAAATTTTCTACACAAAACCTGTGCCAGTCCATTAGAATGGAATTTTTGTCTTATAAAGTTTTTCGACAACATTCATTGTATGTTTACCTTTGGAGGTTATGTCTACAATCGATGTCTCTAATTTTATAAAATTTAAATTTAAATTCTCAACCCCTGTAAAATGCGGTATGTTAATATATCCTTATTTTTTATTTATTTTTTACCTTTAAAATGCGATTTCCGACAATAGATCTTAAACCGATTTTTTTATTGTAGTTCCTGATGAGCCATGTACATGGCGAAAATGCATTCGAGTGGTTGTCTTGTAAAAAAATTATATTGAAACCAAATTGAAATTATTTCTTATACGGACCAAAGGCCATAAAAGAATCCAAAGTTTATATTAAAAATTAAGGTCCTTAAAAATACAACTTGATACTTTAAATAGTTAAATTACCAATTGGACAAGCAGAAAGTAGTCTTCGAGTAGTTTGCAGAGTATCGTAGCGAGCGTGCGTGATTAGTCGGTTAAGGTATCGGATAGTGAGCGTTAGGGTCGAGGGTTCAATTCCCGTCGGTTAGAAATTTTCTCTGTTAGGTACATAATCGTTAGGGCATAAAATAAGCGCCAGTATAGGAGAGAGGATGAAAAAGTCAATTCTACTGATAATAAACAATTATAAATAAAAAATAATTTTATTTTCCTATTTTAAGTAGTAAAATCTACTACTTAAAGTAGTAGTTTTAATTGCAAAAGATTTATTAATTCTACAAAAAAATGTTCCTAAAGCCCATTGAACCAATTCCAGTAGTAAAATTTACTACTTAAAGTAGTAGTTTCAATTGCAAAATATTTATTAAATGTACCAAAAAAATGTTCTTAAAACCTATTAAACCACTTTAAGTGGTAAAATCTACTACTTACATCTTGAGTTGTTTTAACATTTTTAAATTGAGTTAATACAATCGAAAAATGTCATTCTACCAATTACATTTTTAATTGGTTTAACTATTTTTATATAGTTAATAGAACCGTTTAAATTCAGTTGAGGACCTATTGTACTACTCAGAGTAGTTAAAAAGTAGTAAAACCTACTAGTTTTTTTTTCAGTGCAAAATAAGTAAATAAATTTTTTTTTATTATATTTATTCACTTATTTTTATATTTATTGTCGTTCGAATTTAATGAATTTAAGAAAATAATTAAATAAATGAAATAATATTAATAAATAATAATAATAATAATAATAATAATAATAATAATAATAATAATCATGCAAAATAATAAATAAATATATTTATATTTTCTATATTCATATAAAGTAAACTTATCTAATCACCTTTAATGGAAACTTTGCGGCGACAGTTTTAGAGAAGTTTTAGCGAAACTTAAAAAACAAACTTCTTTAAAACTTCCACAGTTAAGTACCACAAACTTTCTTTCTAATTTTTACAGCAAACTTACATCGATAACTTCCTGCAAGTTAACAAGGGAAAGTATAAATCGGAGGACATTTGGAATTTCGGGATACTTAACAGGAAGTTAACAGAGTTAGCTTCCGAACTTAACGCGGTTAACTTCCCGCAAAGTATGGTGCTATTTGGGTTATGTCATTGTTTAGTAAAAATTAAAAACTTTCAAGGCTGCGCAGTAATTTTCTTAGGACTTTACAGCTACACAATAATTTTTAACATGCATAAGTGAAGAGTTTTAATGATTATAAATTATTATTAAAATCTCAATTTTTTTTTTCAAATGTACTTGTACTAGAACATGAACGGTTTCATGTGTGAGTACTTGTACATGAACCTGCACAAGAATATGTACAAGAACATTTACATTTTCTTGTACATGTTTTCTTGTAAAAGATCTGATACAAGAATTTGTTCCAAATTCTGATGCAAGAAAATGTACATTTTCCGCACTAGACCTGGTACAACTTCAGCTGCTGAACATGTACATTTTCTTGTACAAGATCTTGTACAGGGATTTTCAATAGGAAAGGGTTAATATCTAGATAATAAACGTAAGTATGTCTTTCTCACAATTAATATAAAAATACAGATAGACAAAAGATAAACACGATCGTCACCAAACGCAACTGCGCTTGCGCCAATATGACTCTCTTGTTGGTAGAAATAAGCGCTTTTATTTGAAATGATTTACTATAAAAACATGTTTGGAAAATAGTAAAAAAATTAAGTGTTAAATTCATATGTAAGTTGATCTATAAGTTCTTGTACATTTCAACAAAATTTTTGTTTAAACTCTTCGTTCACGCACGAAGTGATTTAATATACTAACAATTTAATATGCAATTTTAAAGTTTCTGTAACTGTTGAGTTAATTTTTTCTGTTTTTAGCAGTTTTTTAACAAGGAAAAACATTTCGGATGATTGGACATAATCACAGAAAAAACCTGAACTCAAAATGATAGCGTATGCTACTCATTTTGATATGCAGCAAAAATGAGTCAGGTTGGTGGCGCCACTGTCTATGTCGTTTAGCATTGACTCATTTTTGCTGCATATCAAAATGAGACTAAGTTTTTTCTGTGATGCATTGGATGATTGAGCAACTGATCCAATTGTACAAATGTCGTTTAGACAATTGAGCAGACGGCTTGCTCAATTATTCAAATTGCTATTTCAAAAATTCCTTTTTTACTAGGGAGAGAACAAAATTTCTAAGAATGTTAGAACACTATAGAAAAAATGATTATAATATTTTCTACACTGGCAAGACGTGGCTATTGCGTTTGGTGACGGTCGTTGGTATCTTTTCTGATAGATTTTTAATATTAATTTTAGCCCGTGCAACAACAGAAAGTGTAGCAATGCGACCAAATGTAAACTCATCATAAACTAGTCATATTCACTTTAACATTATTCTAGACATGTGCTAACTATAAACATTTTTCCACATGTACATTCAACACAGTTACTTTCGCTAATCTATTTAACAAAACTCATAAATAAAATAAACTTGAACTTTTCCTAATTAATTGTTTTCTCTAAATTCTAAATAATTCTATGACAGATTTATTTCATTTCAATATAACGAGCCTTTACAAATATATTACTTTATATAACTTACCTCTCCCAATCCTTGAATAAATCGTACAATCATTAACCAATAAAAGCCCCAATTTGCAGAAGTTGGGACCAGTAATCCAAAAACAGAGTTGATAAGCATTCCTATACCAAGAAAATATTTAGATCCATAGCGTTTAGCAAGGATCCCGAAAGGTATTTGTGTTATAACGTATCCGTAAAAAAATGAACTGAGCAGGTAACCTTGCATCTTCGTATCCCATATATATTCTCCATCACTATTTTTCTATAAAAAAATATAATAATGATCACTATTTTTTTTCATCCACTGATGGTTCCCCTACTGAAAATCTCCGTACACAATTTTGTACATTTTCCTTTACAATAGTTCAGTAGCTGAGCTTCTACCAGTTCCTTACTTTGTACATGTTCAGCACCGTAAATTGAGACAACACAGAAAATTAAAAGGTATTAAAATAAGCTGCACCGCTTATTATTTTAATCCAATTTTGCTTACTTTAATACCAAAATGGATTAAAATAAGCAAAATTGGATTAAAATAATAAGGGTTGCAGCTTATTTTAATACCTTTTAATTTTCTGTGAAATTCCTGTACCTGCAGGTTGATTCTGTACCTTTTCCACTTCTCACTTTTCATATACCACTTTCAACTTCCAACTTTCCACTTCCACTACTTTCCACTTTTCACACCTCACTTCCAACAAGTGGAAAGTTCCAAAATGTGAAATGTAAGAAGTGGGAAGTGAAAAATTGGATGTGGAATGTGGAAAAGTCACGGAAACAACCCCCTGTTCTTGGACAAGTTCGTATACATTTTCTTCAATGACGTATAATTATGTACACAATCATGTACCAACTATTATTTGTCAAAAATGGCCACTTTCATGTGTAAAATTTTTTTACACAGCAAATTTGAGAAAATCGTAAATGTCAATCATAAAAACTATCTCCTTAGGGGCTGTTTACAAAATACGTAACGATTCCAGGGGGGAGGGGGGGTCAAGCTATTTGTTACGGACAGCCAAAAAAATGGCGCTAATGTATGTAACTGAGCGTTACATGGGAGGAAGGGGGGGGTTTGAAATTTCCAAAAAAAAAGCGTTACGTATTTTGTGAACAGTCCCATTATACATGTTAAAATTTACTGCGCAGCCTTTAAAGTTTTAATTTTACACAAAGAAATGCACAAACATATACATGATTTTATTCATGTTCATGTACATATTCATGCCAGTGACTTTTTTAACAAATGATAACTAGTATTAGATCATACGTAACTCAAGAAAATATACACGATCTTGTACAAAAACAAGTACAGGAACTTGTTCCAATTTTTGATGATGAACATGTACAAGTTCCTGTAAAGAACTGGTAAGAATTTAGATACTGATCTTGTACAGAAAAATGTATAAAATTATGTACAAGGATTTTCAATATGGTCTATGGGTTATTTGCATACTATCACGTATGAACGTAAAATGAGTTTTTAAAAATATAAATTGCAGACTAAAAATATTCTAAGCAGAACTGACTACTCTCTAAATCTAAATCAGTAGAAATTTTACTAATTCAATCAGTACTTTTGATTTTAACTGAAGTTTCAGTTATTTTTTGAAATTTACTACTATAATTAGTGAATATATAAGCAATAGAAAATAACTTATGTAAATCAGTAATTTGTATATAACATAATCTTTAAAATTAACTATTAAATCAGTAAATTTTGCGGCCGCTGCCATATGTTTATATTATTGATTCAATCAGTAATTGATATTTTACTAATTGAATCAGTAAATTTCTACTAATTATCAGTTGCTCAATTCTCGCTATAGCAATTAGTGGATTTCTACTGCTAATCAGTGAAATATGACTGATTCAGATTTAGAGAGTACTTTTTAAGTACTCTGCATAATTCAATAGGTCCTTAACTGAAGTTATTTCCTTGTATTGACACCATTAAAATAATTGAAGCAAATGAACATACAGTTATTAATGCAACAAAAATTTAAATTAATTTAATTGAATTTAAAGAAATTTCACTAAGATTTAGTAGTAGATTTTACAACTAAAAATAATCCGATAGACTACAATGTCATTTTTGCAATAGAATTAACAAATCTTTATCAATTAAAAAAACTATTTAAGGAAAAAAGTGAAATTTGTCAAATCTGTCACTTTAGATATGCACGATACCTATAGCAAATGATGTTTCAATTCCGAACGGCGGAACGCGCGCCAAGATTTGAAAAGAGTTACAAATTTTAAACATTCATCAAATAGAAAATATGCAAATTTTTTCTTTATTTATAAAAAAAACTTTAGAATTTTGTTAAAATAATAAAAATTAAGCTGATATATTTTTCATATTTACAATTCTTTAATGAAATTGTTCTTTTTAATACATGTTATAAAAAAATAATAATTTATTTATACCAATTTACTTATATTAATACTAATAATCACTATTTCTTTACCTTTAACTATCGCCCTATATTAGTTGCAGACGCCGTTAGATGGCAGCAGCATGCAGGGAGCACAAAGTTGCAGCTGTCATATTACTTAAAATTAGTGATTATTAGCATTAGTATAAATAAATGATTAATTTTTTATAACATGAATTAAAAAAACAATTTCATTAAAGAATTGTGAATATGAAATAAAAATACTGCAACATTAAAAAAAAAAGATTTTTGTTAAAAAATTGTAATTGTTAAATAAATTTTAATATAAATTTTTCTTATTTTTATGTATAAAAAATTATATTTTTGTTGAAAATTATGATGGCAAAATACAAATTTAACTAAATTTTTTGATCCTTTATTTAAGAATTTTTTAAAATGTTATAAGTAAAAATTTATGAAAAATATATCAGCTTAATTTTTATTATTTTAACAAAATTCTAAAGTTTTTTTTATAAATAAAGAAAAAATTTGCATATTTTCTATTTGACGAATGTTTAAAATTTGTAACTCTTTTCAAATCTTGGCGCGCGTTCCGCCGTTCGGAATTGAAACATCATTTGCTATAGGTATCGTGCATATCTAAAGTGACAGATTTGACAAATTTCACTTTTTTACCTTAATAATTAAATAATTCTTAATTAATTTAACATAAACAATGCAGAAGTGAACTTTTAAGAAGTCCATCTCTCAATTACAAAATGTTTTTTGAACAATTTTAGCTTATTTATCAATTTTTTTTTACGTTATTCCTAATGTTGACCCAATATCCACCCAGCTGGGTGGACATTGGGTAAATCAAATCCGCCAGGGTATGCAAAACAAGAAGTATACAGCTGAACCACAATGATAAACTGTCCATGGACAGTTTATCATTCGAAATATTTTCTACTCAAAGATAAAAACATATATTTTATTGAGACCACCTGGAGATATGAATAACCGATTTTTTATCAAATACCCAGAGGGAAAATGTATTTGGCAACCTATTGGCGATTCAAACAGCTACACTAGCGCCACAGTTGAACTAATTTAGGCGTGACTCGCTCTGTAGCACTCCATGTGTTTTAAATTATTTTTTTTTATTTAACGCTTAAAAATAATTTTACAAACGCAATAAAAATATCAGAATAATTAAATAATTTGAAATAAACTGTCAAAACAGAGACTGCTTTAGAGCGAGTCACGCCTAAATTAGTTCAACTGTGGCGCTAGTGTAGCTGTTTGAATCGCCAATTGGAAGACACAAAATAGGTGAAATACAACGTCAACAACGCTTCTTTCGAATTCTGGTGCAAACATTCAAATGGTCAAGCAGTTAGGAAGATGGCGGTCTGACATGATCGCACACTCTTACGTTGAACATTCAATGCACAACAGGCAACTAATTTATGAAGGTGTTATTCAAAAAACTACAACAAATACCCATTCAAAGACATTGAACAATAAGGGAATTACCATCGAGAACAATGAATCTGATTATGATTTGATAATTTAATAAAAATAGAAATAACTAAATATAGTAAATTGGAAGGTTAACCTGCGTACACTGAGGAAGGTTTCAATTAATTGTGATTTATATGACCAAAAGGCATAGGAGTCTTGGTGCATAAGGGAGCGGAAACTGTTTATTGAATATATATATATATATATCCTTTGTTTGACACACTGGGGTACAAAATACCCCACGTTTTTCCATTCTTACCAATTTTTCTCGAAATACCTCACGTTTTCCAATTTTTTAAAAATACTTACTTTAAATATTCTACTATATAACTTATATAGTTTTCAGAAGATACCTCTCAAGAATATGTAAAAAAAAATTGAAGTAGATATATTTAATATTTTATTTTTCATGATGATTTTTGTCGATGGGGTACAAAAAACCCCAATGTGTCAAGTATGATACTCAGAAAAAGTGTGTCAAGTAAAGGATATATATATCAGGAAATGATGAAAAGGAAAATTTGTCTCTGTCTCTTGGACCTTCTAAAGACGGAAAATTAATGCCAGTCTTTTCATTGTTTTCATATAAATTTAGTTTTTAAACAGATATAAAAAATGAAAAATTGAATTCAACCTTTTGAAAGTTATAGCATTTTTAATTAATAAAAATTAGCAGCCAAAATTGTTTCGAGGACAAATAGTAGATCTAGATAGTTAACTCTTTGCCGTCTATACGGTATCCCCACCTGAGAAACAAGCAGTTTGACAGTTGAATCACGTGGAAAAAGTCAGGGCCTTAATCAGTCAGTTTGAATTTCTGGGTTATATTTACATTTTGATTTCGATAAGTTAAAAGCTTTAACAAACAAACTTATCATTTTGTAATTTAATAATAGCTTCGCATGATTGCACTTTTTAAAAAATTCATATTTTTAGTTACGAAATAAAAATTTTTAATATTATTTATTTTCAAATATAATTGGGTTCTATTTTTATTCATTGACGGTCTTGCAAATTCAGACATTCACGTTCTCGCACGAAGCTAATTTACTAACACAAGCATATCCGCTTTTTCTATTGACTGTTCCCCAGAAAGGACTCTAAACGACGTTTCGTAACAGATAAACAGTAAAGGGTTAAATACGCTTGCAAAGCAAAATATTTTGATTTATTCTAAAAGTTGATAAAATTTCGGAAAAAATTTGTTTTTAAAGGTACTTTAAAAAAATCAAAAATATTTTTCAAACGATATTCTATCAAATTTTTAAATTTTAAATATAAAATCCTAGGTGAAATCTTATTTTGCTTATAGATAAAACATTCCATTGAAAAATACCATGTCGAATCTCATATGAAAACCTGTGTAAACATATAATTTCACATGGATTTATATAATGCAAATAATATAGGATTTCATATGGGAATTTTAAGTTGGATGCTTTATGCAGACGGCAGTTTTCAAAAATTATTTAATTAAAAATCAAATGATATTACTGCAATTCATCTGAAAAGAAAAAAATTTGTGCTTTGCATTATACCTTCTAAGTAAGGGCCAGGCCTGGTTGCCATATTTAAAATTTTTAAAAAACTAGTGAAAATACATTAACAGCATTTTATGACATTTTTTACTCTCTAAATCTAAATTAGTAAAAATGTTTACTAATTTAAATTAGTGACTCACTTTTTGCTTATGAATTAGTAAAAAGTGAGTCTTTCTTAAATTTTACTAATTGTTAGTAAAAGTTACTAATAAGTAGTAAAATTTTACTAATTCATAAGCAAAAAGTGAGTCACTAATTTAAATTAGTAAACATTTTTACTAATTCAGATTTAGAGAGTAAACGAAAAAATTATTCAAATTATTTTTTTCAACTTTTATTTCATTTTCAATTTATAAGGTGTTTTTTTAAATACAGATTCATAAAATAAAATAATATTGATTAATTTTATTGTTTTATTTATCAATTAGAGATTCAGGAGCTTAAAAATAGTGTGTAAAATAATTTTTAGCGAAATTCATCGAGCCGTTTTTTAAAAAAGATATTTTTTATGTTAAAAATCAATTTTTTAGCAATTAAATATAATAAACAGGTAATATTTCGATTAATTGAATTAATTCAAATTCTACCGATGTTGCGGTAATTTACGTACATAATAAACAAAAGAAAAATATAAAATTTTTTGTTTGTTAAAAAAATGTTAATTTTTGCTTCCTCGTGGAGGAAGCTTTGTAGTCCTTTCGTTTATAAAACTTTTCAAAGTGGTGGAAACAAATTTTTTTCTTTATAGAAACATGTTATATGAGATCCTGATCAATTGTCCGGATGTATGTATGTATGTGTGTGTGTGTGTGTGTGTGGATCCCTTTTTTGTTTAGAAGATAACTTTAACAGGTTTTAATGGATTTAGATAAAATTTAGTAGGCTCATTTATCATATTAATATCTCAAATCTGACAAAAGGATTTTGAAAAATACTCCAAAAAAAAAATTTTATGGTCTTTTTTCCAAAAATTTTTTTTGAATCGAAAAAATTTTTAAATAGAAAAATTTAAGGTTATATATAATAAAATCGTATTCTTTACGTCAAGACGAATCGATCGATATATATAAAGTATTCATTTGAGGTAAATTTAAAGAATTAATGAAAGTTAAAAAATCAAAAATTCACATTTTGGTTATAAAATTTTGTGATTTTTTAAATTGAAGTTTATATATGAAATAATTGTATTCCTTACGTCAAGACGAATCGATCGATATATAAAGTCTACATTTGAGGTAAATTTAAAGAATTAATGAAAGTTAAAAAATCAAAAATTCACATTTTGTCAATAAAATTTTGCTTTCTCCACGAGGAAGCAAATTTTTTTGCTGATCGTAAAGAGGAAGCAAAATGTTCATGTAATGAACATCTGAATTTACAACTTGTTTAATATCTTATGATATGTAGATATTAGTTTTCATTCTATTTAAAGAATAAAATCTATAATTTTATTAATCTACCTATTTCCTTAATCAATCAATCGGCATAATATATTTTTCATTTTTGAAAATTTTATTTTTTAATACAAAAAATAACTTTTATTAAAAACGGCTTGACGAATTTCGCTAAAAATGATTTTACACACTATTTTTAAGTTCCTTAATCGAATGCAAGAAAAAAATCCGAAGTATAAATATAAAAGCCCTCAGTATAAAAAAATAATAAAAATCTGTAAATATTCTATATTATTTCATATTTTAACCAGAAATACTAGCCAGTAAGTAGGAAGGTGATCTGACCAGTAGCTTGCCAGATTTTATAGATATAGTCACTATGTTCATTATCTAGAAAATCTGTTAAGTGACTGGTCAGTTCCGGGTGGAATTTTTTACCTGGGTTGGGTTAAAGATAACACCGTCCGACAAGATTTTTCACACACGAACAAACCAAACATTTTCGGAAACTAGGGCCCAAAAAAAGAGACCAATGTTTTGCCGTTTTGTAAGATCAGGTCATTTAACGATTTTAGGGGTGAAAACAACCCTTAAATGAAAAGTAACGAGAACATCTTTTAAAAATTAATAATTTTTATGAAACTTGGTACCTAGGGGTTTTCGGGGTCGCTGATTACAAATAGGATGTCAGATTTTCAAAATTCAAAATGTCGGATCTAATATGGCGGTTAAAATTTCTTAATGTTAATTATTCTTTATAAAACTTAGTATCCTGGGGTTTTCGGGGTCGTTGATTACAAATAGGATGTCAGATTTGCAAAATTCAAAATATCAAATGCAATAAAGTTGAAGATCACAAATCTAAAAAATATAAATTGGAGATTTTAAATTAATGTGATTAATATCTTGTTGAAATTTGCGAACAAACATTTTAGAATTTTTATTTCAAGTTATTTTTAAACTGAAAACTTCTCCATTTATTAACTGTGTTTAGAATTTATAAATTTAAAAATGGATTTTTAAAATTACAATACAATATAATTATATTGTACAATTATATTGTATTATATTATTATATTATAATATATTAATATATTATTAATATAATTATATTGTATTTTAATTTTAAAAATCCATTTTTTAATTTATAAATTCTAAACACAGTTAATAAATGGAGAAGTTTTCATTTTAAAAATAACTTGAAATAAAAATTCTAAAATGTTTGTTCGCAAATTTCAACAAGATATTAATCACATTAATTTAAAATCTCCAATTTATATTTTTTAGATTTGTGATCTTCAACTTTATTGCATTTGATATTTTGAATTTTGCAAATGTGATATCAGATTCGTAATCAACGACCCCGAAAACCCCCGGATACTAAGTTTTATAAAGAATAATTAACATTAAGAAATTTCAACCGCCATATTAGATCCGCCATTTTGAATTTTGAAAATCTGTCATCATATTCTTAATCAGCGACCCCGAAAACCCCCGAGTACCAAGTTTCATAAAAATTATTAATTTTGAAAAGATGTTCTCGTCATTTTTTATTTAAGGATTGTTTTCACCCCTAAAATCGTTAAATGACCTGATCTTGCAAAACGGCAAAACATGGGTCTCTTTTTTTGGGCCCTAGTTTCCGAAAATGTTTTGATTGTTCGTGTGTGAAAAAAAAGTTGAATTTTGTTGGACGGTGTAATAGATAGATAAATGTCATTTTGAAAATTATACTTACATTTTCGTTTGAACTAGTATTTTTCCCAACTCCACATTCGTTCGTATATTCAATATTACTTTCTGTAATAGCTGTGTGATTCACCATTGCTACTATAGCTACTGACATATTTGTGCGCATTATGTAGGCATTTGCCATGCCTAGAAAAAGCATGAATGTTACTACGTGACGTGTCCCCACCATTGCTGAAAAATATTAAGCATATTGTGAATAAATCAAATAATTTTATTAATGGATAAAAATAACCTTCTAAAATAAAACGAGATTTTTTTGAAAATTTGGAGCCATCCATAAACCACGTATCTCCAATTTTGGCACTTTTTGACACCTCACCACAGTGCGCGGGAACGAGTTTAGAGATTGACAAAAATGACGACAAAATCTGATAGTGCCATCTTCTTTATCACTTAAAATTATGTAAGAAAATGTTTTTCCCAAACTCTAAATCGCAGAGTTTCGCGTTTTTAAAATCATTTTGTAAAAAAAAATAACTTTTTAACACTAAATCTTTTTTAATGCTTTAAACTTTTTTATATAGATGATTAAGATTAATTATTCTTATTTTAACATAAATTATGAATTTGGTCATAAAATATAAAAGTTAAACTTTTTATAGATGACAAAAGAGAACATGAGCTACTGCTCAAATTTAAACACCGCGTGACATAGTAATTTACTAGTAGTCCAGTCAAGTTAGTCTAAATACAAGACATATCATGTTTTAACTCAGGAACCCTTTTGAAATTTTACATAGAATCTCATTTTATTACCATTGTATGTTAAATCTCAAAAGGGTCAACTTTGAGATACTGTATATCGGAAACTATCAGAGCTATTGCATTGTACTTTTTTGTGAATTCTCAGAAATTTTGTCAGCTTTTATGCTAAAATGTATTTTATGTATTTATTTTACCTCAAGATGAAGGGTTTTAGCAAAAAAAATTGAGATCCTGAGTTAAAACATGATATGCCTTGTTTTTAGACTAATTTGACTGGACTACTAGTAAATTGCCATGTCACGCGATGTTTAAATTTGAGCAGTAACTCATGTTCTCTTTTGTCATCTATAAAAAAGTTTAGTTTAGTTTTGCCTACCTATAATGGAACGTAGCTTTTTTTCATGTATTAAAATCTCGGAATAAAATCTCTCTTTTGTAAAAGTAATCAATAAAATTTGATTTTGTATTTCGTTAATTTAGAATATTATTTGTAGTCAAATTCTCCCCCCTTTTTCAGAAGGGCTCTCTAGAACAAAATCAAATTAACTATATAGACAGCAGCGCTGATAGTGAACGAGAGGGGTGTTACTAATCGCTTTTATTAAACTCGGTTCAATTCGATTCTCTCGAATTGCCTATCGAGTTGCCCGCGTAATTTCAAAAAAATATTTGTGAAATAAAATTTCAAAAAACTACGTTGCTCGGGCTCAAACCCCTTCCTCCCCCATGTGGTCAAATGTCAGTGGATGTTTTCGATTTTTGGACTGAAAATACACAAAGAGGATCAATTACTTATACAATGTCTTTATTACATCGAAAATATTCAAAAAAATCTATTTTTCATTTTACGTAATGAAAAAAGAAATTTTTATTAAGGTAAACCTATCACTAAACATAACCTAAAATTTTTAGGAGCTACCCTATTGAAAATCCCTGTATAAGATCTTGTACAATTTCCTGTACAGGATCAGCAACTGAACTTGTACAAGTTCTGACCAGTTCCTGTACAGGAAAATGCATACGAATTTGAAACAAGTTCATGTGTGAGATCTTGTACAAGATCTGGTGCAAGATCTTGTACATGAACACGTTCATGTTCTTGCACATGTATAGTTGTAAATTTTTTTTTTTAATAAAATTTGAGATTTTGATAATTTTTAACCACTAAGATTCGTAACTCATGCATGCTAAAAACTATTGCGCAGCTGTAAAGGTTAATGTAAACTATTGCGCAGCCTTTGAAGTTTTTAATTTTTAGTAAAGAAAAACACGAATTAACATGTGCAAGAACATGTACATTTTCTTGTACAAGTATCTTTCTTGTACAAGATCTTGCACCAGATCTTGTACAACATCTCACACATGAACTTGTTCCAAATTCGTATGCATTTTTCTGTACAGGAACTGGTCAGAACTTGTACAAGTTCAGTTGCTGATCCTGTACAGGAAATTGTACAAGATCTTGTACAGGGATTTTCAGTAGGGTAAAGTATACTTTTAGTCCCGGAGCGTCACATATTTGGATGAAAAATTAAAACTTGAAGAAAATAACTGTTTGTCGAGGTAAGTTTACCAATTTCTCGAGGTTTGGATCAAATTTGCGAAGCTTCACAATTTCTTAACATTTAACTTGACAATTAGCATCTACTGATATTTAAGAAACAGGTTAAATATTTATTTTTCAGATAAAAATATCACACTTTCCTTACTTCCAGACAATATATTTTAGTATTTTTCCTTAACATATTCGAATTTTGTTCTTTTTTATCAAATGTTAATTCTATTCAAAAAATTATGACAAATGAAAATTCGATGAAATGAAAATTATGTTAAACAATCATTGTATAAAGAACAATTCAAATTCTTAAAAAAATTAAATTACATATTTTCAAAAGTTTTAATAAAATTCTTTTTAAAAATTCAATTATTTTTTAAACTTTATATTAAATGTTATACAATTTTAATTAGGTACCTACTTTATAATAATTCTTTTAATTCAATACATTAAAAAGTATAATTTAAATTATTATTATTTAAAAAACTTAATTATTTCATAATTTTGAATAAATTCATCAATAATTTTGAAATATTTTCCAAATTTTTAATCTTTTAAAATTTAGGTAATCATTAACAAAAAATTTAACTGATAAACTTTGAAAATTTAATTATGTAATGAGGAAAATGTTAACAGAAATTCTTCGAAATTTCAATAATTTGCAAAAATTTATATCTAAAATTCAATAATTGTTAAAAATTTGTAAAAAAAATCGCGAATTCAAATTTATAAAAAATTTCAATTTTTCTGAAATTCAATTAATTATTAAAAATCCCACACAGCACATTATATTTCCTAAACATTTCATGAATATTTCATTGAAAGATTTGAAATATTTCAATGCAAGGTTTATGAAATGTTGAGGAAAACAGGAAAATGTCCGCTTATAAGAAATATTGCCGTGCAATTTTGCTGAAATATTACACTTTAATACCCCTACAATATTACATATGAATGACTCTGCAATATTCAGGAAACATTTCAAAGAAAGTTAGAAATTTTTTAAAAATATGAAATCAATCGTTATTTTCTAACATGTTCAACACCTTAGGATCCTGGAAAATTAAAAACTACTGCGCAGCTGTACAGGCCATAGAAACTGACATCGACCAGTGCGCATCATTTAAGTTGGAAATTTTCTACAATATTTTAATGAAATATTTCAACAAAATTACACGGCAATATTTCTTATAGGCGGACATTTCCCTAATTTCAGTAACATTTCAAGGACTTCGCATTGGAATATTTCAAAATTTCAATGAAATATTTAGGAAATATAATGTGCTGTGTGGGAATATGAATAGGAACTATTCGAAAATTTAAGTAGTTATAAATATTTGGCAAAAATTCTACGCCAAATCACAATAATTTTAATAGTTTATAAAAAATTTAATTATTTAAAAATATTTTAAATAAAAAATTTTCTAAAATTTAATCATTTTCTATAATTTGTATTAAAAAAATGCAGAAGTATGTATTTACAAAAAATTTCAATTTAAAATCGACTGAAATACAATTATTTTAAGAAATTTAACCTGTTACAAAATGCCCACCTAATAGCGCGTAGTTTTACGAATATTGTCTTACTTTATTTTGTGAAAGAATTTTAACTATATTAAAATAAAAAAATTTACATTTTTAATAAAATTATACTTTTGTCAAAAATTGATTTTTGTTCATCAAACATCTTAATATATAAGATAAATACGTATTAAAATAAACATAAATAATTTAAATATTTCAATGTTTAAAATAAAATTTTTTTTTGATTTATATTTATAACTATGGATTATTCTAAATTTATACCTAAACTTTATTTGTTCACGGAGAAAAATGGTGCTAAGATTACCTATAGTAAACATTCCTATGAAATAGTAATAGAGTCAGTTGGGGTAAATGGGGACAAAAACGATATTTTTCACAAATTACGTAAGTTTTTTCCTTTAGAAGGTAATATTTGCAGGTTTATTTTTTTTAAGTTGTTATTTACAATACCAGGATTAATTTTATGCAGCAGAAAAAAATGTAGATAAGAAATGAAACTGACTGTCCCCATTTACCCCAAAATTTAGAAAATTTCATAAAATTTGGGGTAAATGGAGACAGCATATTTTCTAAAAAAGGTTTAAGAAAAAAGTTTCCTTAAGTATATTACTGTATTAAGGGATAAAAAAAACTTGAAAAAAATTTGTAGTAGATATATAATAGTTGAACCAATTGAAATTTTTTTATTTTTTTTTAATTTTAGTATTTTGTCTCGCATTTGAAAAAAAAAACAGACTTAAAAATCATACCAAATTTTTTTCTTACTCCTTATGACTTCCATAAATTCACTTGAATTTTTGATTTTTGTTTATTTGGTTAATAATGACAAGCTGTCCCCATTTACCCCAAAAATTTGAAAACTCAGGGTAAATCTTGTCAGCTTGTCATTATTAACTAAATTGATAAAAATCAAAAATTCAAGTGAATTTTTGTTGTGTGAATTTTTATAGAAGAAAAAAATTTGGTATGATTTTTAAGTCTGTTTTCTTTGAAATGCGAGATAAAATACTGAAACTGTTCTCTCTAAATTTGAATCAACTAAAATTTCACTGTTTGAATCAGCGAATAAAGTTTTCACTGCAAATCAGCGGATACAGCTAATAAAATAGCGAAACACGAATCGGCAAACGTCGGTCATTTTCGTCGGAAGATAAATTTATTTTTAAAATGTAGTATTCCGCTGATTGAAATAGTTGTTAGTAATGTTAGTCGCTGATTCGCAGCTGCATACTTATAGCTTTTTCAATCAGCGACTATTCGCTGCCAATCAGCGGATTTTAGCTGATTCAAATTTAGAGAGTTTGACTTTCATTTTCAAGTTTTTATGGATTGAGCGATAACTTGAATTATATTCAAGATAAAAGCT